GAGAGAGAGAGAGAGAGAGAGGTGAGCAGGGGAGGAGCAGAGAGAGAGGGAGAACAAGGCAGTGTTCCAGGTTCAGCTGTCACACAGAGCCCCACACAAGGGCTCTAACTCAGCTTAACCAGAGATCGGCGACCTGAGCCGAAGCCAACCGACCTGAGCCACCCAGGCGCCCCTATTGTATCTGAGTTTTGATAACAATCCACCAGAAACATCCTGAAGAGTTTCTTCAGAGAAGACACATGCAGCAGCACGCCTTGGTTTGTGTATTGAAGCCAGGAGCCATACACGTTGAAAAGAATTTTCTACCAAAAATGGCTTTTCAATTAATAAAAATATGTACACTCATGTCCAACTATGTGTCCTGGCCACAGCTTGTTCAATCGACATCATCAATAGCAATGTTATTGAGTCACGTTTAAAAGAGCTAAACTATGTAAGCTTCCAACATTCACTCGATAAATATGTACCGAGGCTCTCTATGTGCCGGGTTCACGGTGAAGCCAAAGGCGTTTTGGCCTGTGGCACTGCTGGGTCTCCAAGGGATGAAGCATTCTCCCCAACAGACTCATCATCATGCATTTTGTGTCCCCAAGGAGACACGGCACTCCTGTCCCCACCTCTGCTTCTCAAATCCTCTCTGAAACTGAGAAAAAGATCCTAACGCTTCCACTGGCCACTGCATTCTCAACAGCGAAATTCTAGTGACCATCTCCATCAGCTGGAGGAAACGCCACTACTATTTATACCGTACTAAATAGATACCGCTGTTGCTGGCAAATAGCCTCTCCCAGGCTGCCAGTGCAAAATGTTGTGGAAATTTCGAAAGACTGAAAAATGTACTGCCAGAGGCATCAGGGATTCATGGGCTGACTGGTTTGAATAAAAAGAGAAGGAAAAACATTGAACACGGATACAGGCACGACATTGTTATTAGTGACCATTTTTCAGTGTAATATCGCATCAGGATCTCCTAAAATAGTTGCTGTAAGTGTAGTGGTGGAGGTGGAAAACCCAGAAGTTTGTTGATTTGGACCTTGAATGCATTTTTTATGCACACTAAAAAGTTTCAGAAAACTGTGTTCCTGACTACAACAAACTTAGTGGGATATCCTCCCACCCCATTCCCAAGCTCCAGAGGAAGTAAATGGCAGCTTAAGAAAATATTGTCCTCAGGTCCTTCCATGATGGCAAAGGAATATAATGACCAAGATGAAAAGCGCCACACCAAGCCACTCACCCACCTTCCTTATTATTTTATTTTATTTTATTTTTATTTTTATTTTATTTTATTTTATTTTATTTTATTTATTTTTTTTAAATATAATTTATTGTCAAATTGGCTACCATATTAATGTGTAAAGTAAATTTCTGTTTTGGGGTAGATTCCCCATGGTTCATCACTTACATACAACACCTAGTGCTCATCCTGCAACAAGTGCCCCCTCAATGCCCATCACCATTTTCCCCTCTCCCCCCACACTCCCATCTCACCCTCAGCGAGCCCTTTCTGTATTTAAGTAGAGTCTCTATGGGAATACTCTCCACGATTTGATGAATTATTTTTTTCCCCTTCCTTCTATAACCAAACTCTTCTGTTAAGTGCTTTCAAGATCCACATATGAGTGAAAACATGGTACCTGTTCTTTCCTTTTCATGGACTGATTCTATTTCACTTAGTATAGCATAATACTCTTTTCCCATCTATATATGCTGCAATGGCATGATTATTTTTCATTGCTGGTAGTATTCCATTGTATATATAAACTTACATCTTTATCCATTCATCAGTTGATGGATATTTGGGTTCTTCCATAATTTGGCTATTGCTGAAAGTGCTGCTGGGGAAACATTGGGATACATAAAAATTTTTATGATCAGCACTCCTGCATCCTGGGATACCCCAGTAGTGCTATTGCTGGGTTGTAAGACTTATTTCAATTTTTTTGAGGAAACTCCTCCACACTGTTTTCCAGAGCACAGGTGCACCAGTTTGGCCCCTCACCAGCAGTGCAAGGGGTTCCCGTTTCTCCACATCCTCTCTCCAGCATCTTGTTTCCAGAATTGTACACTTTTAGTCACTCTGACCCATGTGAGGTGGCAGTGGCCTCAGTGTGGTTTGATTTGTATTTCCTGATGAGGAGTGACTTGAGCATCTTTTCATGTGTCTGTTGGTCATCTGGATGTCTTTGAAAAAGTGTCTATTCGTCTTTCTGCCCATTTCTTCACTGGATTATTTGTTTTCAGGTGTTGAGTTTGTAAGTCTTTATAGATTTTTTGATACTAACCCATCCGACATCGTCATTTGCAAATACAATTTTTTCATTCTGTCGGTTGCCTTTTTAGTTTTGCTGATTGTTTCTTCAATTTCGCAGCAGAAACTTTTTATCTTGATGAGGATCCCCAATAGTTCATTTGCCTTTAATTCCCTTTGACTTCCCAGATATGTCGAAAGCAAAAAATTACTGTGGGTTGAGGTCAAAGAGGTTATGAAAGGCTCCTTTTCTCCTTCAGGGTTTTGATAGTTTCCTGTTTCACATTTAAGTCTTTCTATCCATTTTGAGTTTATTTTTGTATGGTGTAAGAAAGTGGCCCAGTTTCATTTTTCTGCATGTTGCTGTCCAGTTCTCCCAACCATTTGCTACAAAAAAGACTGTTTTTTTTTTTTCCACTAGATACTCTTTTCCTGCTTTGTCAAAGATTAACTGTCCATACATTTGTAAGGCCACAATTTTCTAATATTCTATTCCATTGGTCTACGGTTCGTTTTTGTGCCAATATCATACTGTCTTGATGATTACAGCTTTGTGTATAAGTTAAGTCTGGGATTCTGATGCCTCCTGTTTTGGTTTTCTTTTTCAATTTTACTTTTGGC